CCAGCTGGGATTAGGAGACAAAATCCATCTTTCTACTGTCTGCAAGAAACTCAGTTTTGAAGTCAGGAAGCATCTCAAAGTGAAAGCCTGGGAAAAGGCATCCCAAGCACACGGAACCTTGAAGCAAGCGGGTGTCACTATCCTTATGTCTGTGACAAATGCCTTCAAATAAAAACTAACTAGAATGTAGTGTCCTTCCTTGTCTCTTCTAATCAAAGGAACAATTAACCAAGAAGACATTACAACCCTAAACATATATGCATCCAATTTCATACAAAGCGTACCACTGGAGCTAAAGACACAGACTAACTCTAAGTCAGTTAGTAACAGGTGATTTCAAAACCCCACTTTTATCAACAGACAGGTTAGCTAAATAAACAGAAAACATCAGAATTGAATGTCACTATACATCAAACATATCTACAGAATATTCTGTCCAAGCACCAAAGAATGTATACTCTACTCAACAGCCCATGCAAATGTTTCTAAAATATATCACCCAGCCTGGGACACAAATCCTAAAAAAGTTCAGGAAAACTCCATGTATCTTTTTGAACTGAAATATAATAAAATTTAGCAAAAGAATCTGTACACAGACTCATGGAGATTAAATGAAAATGAAACCACAGTCCAACTCCAGGACACATTAAGCGCAGTTCTGCAAAGGAAAATTTATACCTCTAAGTGCACACATTAAAACATCTGAACATGCCCAAGCTGGGAGGAGTGGCACATGGCTTTAGCCCAAGCTCTCTGGAGACAGGTAGATCTTCCTGAGTTTGAGGTCAGCCTGGTCTACATAGAAAGTTTCAGGTCAGCCAGAGCTATGTAGGGAGATCCTGTCTCATCCCCATTCCCTCCACCAACCCAAGAAAAGAAAAGAACAAGTAAATAACTTAATAATGTAACTCAAGAGTCAGGAAGAATAAGAAAAAAAAATAACTCAAACCCAGTAGACAGGAAAAAAAATAACAAAAATCAGAGCAGAAATGAAATAGAATCAATGAAAAACAATACAAAAAAAAAAAATCAAATCCAAGAGCTGGTCCTTTGAAAAGATGAAACAAGATCGACAGATCTTTAATCCAATTAGCCAAAAAAACAAAAACAAAAACAAAAACCCAATAAAACAAAACAAAAAACAAAAAACAAAAAAAATCCACAAATCCCCCATTAAATTAACAGAATCAGAGATGAACAGGGAAATATTACAGCAGACACCAAAGAAACCAAGAATATTTTATGGACCTATATTCTATTAAGTTTGCAAACCTAAAAGAAACAGATTTATAGATTCACCTGAACTACCAAAGTTACACCAAAAGGAGATCATCAATTTAAACAGACCTGTTACAAAGATGGAGCTCAAAAGAGATAAAAAGCCTTTGGTCTAAAAAAGCCCAGCCAGATGGATTCACAGCAGATTCTACCAGATTTTCAAAGAACAAAATCAACTTGGAAACGGAAAGAGCATTCCCAAACTCCTTCTACAAAAACAGTATCGCTCTGATACCCAAACCAAGTAAAGACCCAACAACAAGAAAGTTACAGGCCAATATCCCTAATAAACAGACTCAAAATTACTCAATAGGATACCTGGAAACAGAATATGGACATACATCAAAAAAATTATATACCATGACTAAGTTGGCTTTATCCCAGAGATACTTCAGCATATAAGTCAATAAAGACAAAAATAAAACAAAATGAAAAACAAAACAAACAAAAAAACCTCACTTCATATGATTATCTCAATAGATGCAAAAAAAAACAAAAACAAAAACAAAAAAGCCTGACTAAATCGAACATGCCTTCATGATGTGAGTGCCAGAGAGAGTAGAACTCAAGAGGCCACACCTCAATAAACGCTATCAATGACAAACCACACCCAGTGTCCTCCCAAATGGAGAAAAATCTGCAGCAATCCCACTAAAATGAGGAATGAGACAGTTGTCCATCCTTTCCACTCCTTTTCAATGCAGTACCTAAAACACTAGCAGAAGCAATAAGGTAAGAGAAGCCAACTAAAGGGATACAAATAGGAAAAGAAGTCAAATTAACTCTACTTATAGATTATGTCTTATACATAGACAGTCCAAAGACTTTAGATATGATTGACAATTTCAGTAAAGTGGCAGAATACAAAATCAACTTAAAAAATTATATACTAACAACAAACATACTGAAGAGATGATCTTGGAGACACTCTCATTCACAATAAGAAAAAAAAAAAAGAATAAACCTAATCAAGATGGTAAAGACCTCTACAACAAAAAACTTTAAAACTCTCAAAAAAGAGATACTAGAAAATGGACAAACTTGTCATGCTCACAGATTGGTACAATTAATATTGTGAAAAGGTTCTTTCTACCAAAAGTGTTTTATAGATCCAATGGATTTCTTTTTTTTTTTTTTTTTTTTTTTTTTTTTTGTTTTTCGAGACAGGGTTTCTCTGTGTAGCTTTGTGCCTTTCCTGGAACTCACTTGGTAGCCCAGGCTGGCCTCGAACTCACAGAGATCCGCCTGGCTCTGCCTCCCGAGTGCTGGGATTAAAGGCGTGAGCCACCAACGCCCGGCGATCCAATGGATTTCTAATCAAAACCTCTACAACGTTCTTCACAGAAATAGAGAAATATCATCCTAAAATTTATATAGAAAAGCAATCCAGAACAAAAGGGACAATGCTAGGATTATCATTCCACGTTTCAAGGTATTTTCCAGAACTATGGTAATAAAAGCAGCATGGTAATGCCACAGAAACAGACATGGCGGCCAATGGGATAAAAGGGAAGACCCAAGTGAGTACACCGCAGTCATCTGATACTTGACAATGGCAAAAAATCGAACAAACAAAACAACAAACAACCAAAACCAAATCCCCAGCATCTTCAAAAATGGTGCAGGGGAAACCGGTGTCCATATGTAGAAGAATGCCTTTAGGCCCATCTATCATGAACCTGCAGAAAAACCAGCTCCGAATAGATCAAAGGCCTCAGTGTGAAACCTGAAACACTGAAACCACTAGATGAAAACAGGCAGCGTCCACAGATACAGGTGGAGGAAGGCTTTCTGAACAGGACTGCATTTGCTCAGGTGTTAAGGCTAACAATTGACAAATGGGACCTTAGGAAACTAGAAAGCTTTTGTACAGCAAAGGAAACCACCAAGGAAAGAAGCCCACAGAGTGGGAGAGAATTTTTGCCAACTACACATCCAAGAGAAGATTCATATCCAGAATATATAAAGAATTCAATGGCTCCAGAACTCCAGAAAATAAACAACCCAGTCAAAACACGGGCTATGGATCTGAACAGTGTTCTCCAGAGAAGAAATAAAAATGGCTAAAAGAATCTCAAAACATGCTCAATATCCTTAGCAATTAGAGGAATACAAGTTCAAATGAACTTGCGATTTTGTCTTACCCAGTCAGATTGGCTAAGATTGAGAAAACAACTGAATTCTTTGTGCGCGAGCCGCCTTTGCCTGGATAAGTGCAGCTACTCCGCCTCATCAAAGAAGCGTCTCTTTACAGGCAGTGGAGACTATCACAGATATAATTAAAAAAAAAAAGAAGAGGCTATCAACTTGAGAGTGTGTGTGTGTGTGGGGGGGGGGAATGGGAGAGGTAGGAAGGAAAGCGATGTAATTCTCTTTAAATGAAAAACAAAAAATATTTGTGGTGCTGGAGAGATGGCTCAGCAGGTAAGAATGTGCATACAGCTTTAGAGGTCCCTGAGTTCCCCAGCCCCGGTGTGGGGTGGCTCACAACTGACTGTAATGCCAGTTTAAGGGGGCTCTGACCCTTCTGGCCTCCTCAGGCACCTGCAGTTATGTCCATATATCATGCCCCACCTCCACATACACATAATTTAAAATAGTAACAACAAAATCTTTCCAGAAAGAAAAGAGCAATGACTGACAAAAAATGCTGGAGGGGATGTGGGGTAAGGGGACCCCCTCATTCACTCCTGATGGGATTGTAAACTGGTACAGCCGATCTGTCAATCAGCGTGGAGAATTCTGACCTAGCTGTAAAGCCCATGCACCAGAACAATGATTGAACTGGGAAGAAAGCCACGAAGGTGCAACAGTGGCATTTTCATCTGGGGGGTAACCAAAAGCTCCCTAAGTGGACTTCACGTCCATTTCACGGGACGGAATTCATGTCTGATGCTGTAACACTGGGTCCACACACAGGTGGGGAGGCCACGGACCCTAGCAGAGAATGCGCTACTAGTGCTGCACGGAACTAGTTCAGTTTCCAGCTGCGTTCTGAATACTGATCAGTACACCCAAAGATAAATGTGGCTCTCATTCCTCATCAAACAAGCTTCTGTTTGCAGCAGGTGGAGACTGTTACAGAGATCCACAACTAGTCAGTGACCGGGGTGCCCAACCACAGCTGATGCAAACAAACAAACAAACAACAACAAAATCTCAAAAGAGAGACCGTGAAAAGGTTGTAAGAGCCAGAGGCCCAGGACGTCTGCTGTCACTGGCTCCTACATCCTAAAAAGGGGAACGCACCCATGAACTCTCAGTGTGATTGTCTGAACAAGACCATCCTGATGACACCACCACCTGACATGCTAACAGGGACAGGGGACATTCCATGTGGTTCCACACCTAGATGAAGAGTTAGAGGAGATCACTGGCTGCTGAGAGTGGGGAGAACCAGTTTCTTCCATGGATGAGCTCCCCTGTGGGTTGTCTAACCCCAAGTGGTAAGCCCTGGACAAACAAGCAAAGCCAAACAGACCCATTAGTTACATACACCCATGTGTGCATCTGTGTAAGACACATTTACACATGTACAATAATAATAATCCAAGAGGTCATGAATCTGGGAGGGAGAAACAGGAGGAGTGTAGGGGGGGGGGACTGGAGTGAAGGTGATGTCTTGCTCATGTATGGCGTTCTCAAAATAAAATAAACACAAACAAACAAACAACAAACAAGGCAAAGGACTTTTCCCGGCAAAGGAAGGAAACACGATTTACCTGGTTGGTAGAAATCAGGCGACAGCTCTCTGGCCACGGCTCTCGCGATATCACACTCCTGGCGGGCAGCCAGTGCAGCCTGGTCAGCAGCGTCAGCCTTTGCTCTGGCATGTGCGGTCCTACATGGGCATAAAGAGGCTGGTGAGTAAGAGAGCACTGTATTAATTACCCGTGGACAAGCCAACCTTGATCTAGGGAGAAAAACGTTAACTGTGATCCTGGCCCAACACCTGCAATAGCAACTTTTAGTGTCACGATGCTCTGAGACCTCAGTGACAGCCACAACCGGATGAACCTATCTGTGAATCACTGCAGTCCTTCTTTCAGGGGGAAAAGGAAATTGTGAGCAAGGTCTCTAGCACTGGACGCTGTGTCTGGCTGTCAGAACTCACTGGACCAACTCCTCCGGTGATTTTGTATCATACTCCCCCAACTCCAAAAGGCAGCCAACCATGGAGAGCAGGATTTGACCATACAAATTAGCTTAGCGTTCACTGACCAAACTCCATCGGGAGAATCAGGTAAGAAGCCGACTAAGGAAAGGCTGCCCGGTGGAAGGAATGAGCAGGGTTGCTACCATCAGTGCTTGCTGACCCCACAGGTGGATACCCTTGCTGTGGCCAATTTCAGGCCATCGGCATGATGCTATTAGATGTGTTACTGGGAAGAGACGCACACCACAGGTTCTCACCGGTATGCTACGGAGGGCTAGTGAGCTGTCTACTTACTGGATTAATTTAAAATTGCTTTTTCTTTAAAATTTTCAGAAAGTTATCTGTGTGTGTATGTGTGGGCACCACTAAGAGCGTGAAGAGGTCAGAGGATAACTTGTGGGAACTGGTTCTCTCTCCAAAACGTGGGTTCTGAAGACTGAACTCAGATCATGATGTTAACCAGCAAGTGCTCTTACCTGCTGAACCATCTCACTGGCCTGCGTTTACTTGTTTTTTTCCACAGGGATTTTATATGAAGCAAAAAGGACCCAGTGGAGCAGAGCAGGTGAGGATGGAATAGGTCTTGTGGTCTTCTAACCCCTCCCTGGTCTATTCTCACACAGTAAAGACTTCACCTTTAGAGGGGGGAACAAGTATTGGGCTTCCTGGGCTGACAGCTCAGTTGCTAATGTGTCTGCCTTGCTAACATGAAGACCTGAGTTCAATCCCCCAAGATGCACATTAAAAAAGGAAAGAAAAGCCAGATACAGTGGCCCACAGTTGTGATCCTAATGCTCGGGATGTGGAAACAAGCAGATCCCTGGGATTCACCTGGCGGCTAGCCTCGCCTCCCTGCCAAGTCCCAGGTCAGTGAGAGACCCTATCTCAAAAGTGATGTGTGTGTGTGTGTGTGTGTGTGTGTGTGTGTGTGTGTGTGTGTGTGTGTTACCAGTGCATTTTCTTTGCCTGTTTTTTTAAAGAGAGAGAGAGAGAGAAAAAAGGCATAGAGTTGAATGGGTAGGGAGGTGAGGAGGATCTGGGAGGATTGGGGAGGAAAAACCATGATCAGAATACACTGCCTGAAAAAAATCTTTTCAATTTAAAAAATGAAGTGGACAGTGCCTGAGGAACAACAGAAGACCATCCTCTTGTCTCCATGTGTACAAATACACTTGAACACACGTTTACCTGTATGCACACACACACACACACACACACACACACACACACACACACACACACACACACACACAAAGGAAAAAAATTAGGCTCCTTAAGGCCAGGCCAAAGAGAATCTGGGGATCACAGAGAGACAATTGGTGTGTGTGTGTGTGTGTGTGTGTGTGTGTGTGTGTGTGTGTGTGTGTGTATCCATTTCCTGAATGCAAAAGACTTGTTCAGTTAGTGTATAAATGACATGGATATCTATCTACTCTTATGCCTTTGTAGACATCCTGTCATAGTTCATTAGCACCAGGCAGGACTATGGATAACTAGTGTGAAAGTCTGAAAGCAATGCACACACTAATCTCAGACAACAGGAGAGGGTGATCCAGGAAATGGCACTACAAGAGGCAGCTGGAGATGACCAGGAAACTGTTCCCGAGGCTTGACCACTAGACTTAAAATGGAAAGGCAGGATCTGACCTGAGGCCGGGGTACTAGCTAGCAAGACACCCCATTCTCATCTTTCTCCTGGACTCTTGTGGGTTCATTTCACTCCCATCTAGAACCTAGGTGGGTCTAGAGACTAGTAAGCTTTGCAAAGACTAGGATCTTTTCCCTTCTATTCTTTGCTGTACCTGGCCCAGAGTATTTACGGAGAACCTACCTTATATATAAATGATGATTCTTTAGGAATAGCTGCGCTGCCACTTAGTAACAAGTGAACTAAAGGATATGTGGTAAGGAAAAAAAATCTATTTTTAATAAAAAATTAGTGAACCACAGAACTACAGAAATGGTAAAGGCAATGTGGCTGCCAAGGTTCAGTAAGGAGGGGAACAGGGAGAACAGAGCACATGTCTAGGGGAGAGAAACAACTCCATGTCACACTGTAGTGGATGGAACACATGCGTCAAAATTTGGAGAATACACATCATCGGGGTGGGTCTATATGAACAATGGATTTTACATAATCAGGGTTGAGTGCTAAGGTGAACAATGGATTTTAGCGCAAATGAATCAACATTCCTTCAGCAATTCCATCAAATTTACTCAAGATGCCAGAGAAGGAAGCTGCGTGTGGGCCCGAGGTGGGGAGAAGATGTCTATGAGAACACTGCAGTCGGGTCAACTTAAAAACTGCTTCGAAAAAAAAAAATCAGTTACAAGTATAACATTATACTGACTGAGCAGGTTGTATTTATATATTTAGGGAAACTATATATATGTGTATCTATCAGTCTGTCTGTCTATCTACCCTCCCTTTTTCTCTCTCCACACATACATATTTGTAACAATAAAGATAGAGGAAAATGATATAATTATAACTTCCAAAGCCAAAAATGTATTAAAAATGAATGGATAATCTTCCATGTATCCAAATAGTTTTTTCTTCATCATGTGGGATATTCCTGATTGCTTTTGTCTATGGAGCATTATAAATTTGAAGTGAAAATAAAACAGGAGTTTAAAAGAACATATTCCTAAGTGCCTGGCTGTAGTGACCTTGTAAGACATCATCATCCTTGGCAATTTGAGGAGGCAGGTTGACTCTAATTCTATGCCCAAGAACCAGTGGGCACCCTCTGTTCACATTCTTTCAGCCTCTCAGCTCCTATTTTTCCTCCCCAGAATGATTTTCCACTTTATCTGCTATTCTTAGCTAGAGCCTAATTATGTCTAGGTACCATAATTAATGAAGTTGTAAGAGTACAGCCATGCTGCCTTATAATGTGATTTCCTAGCTCTTCAATAAATCTACAAAACTAAACAATGTATTCTGATACAACTGCAACACATTTCTGTCAAGCCAAACAAAATGGAAATACTATCTCTATCCCATACTATAATCCAGCTAACTGGAGCATCCAATTCCTGTAAACAGATAATGGAAGCTCAGAGTCAGTAAAGGCTCATTCACCACTCTTGTATGTAACTTACTTTCTTACTTGCTCTTTTCTGAAGGTCCAGACATCTAACCCAGCTACCAGGACTACTTAGAATTGACCAGATGAGCAAGACCACACCCACCCCTGAATGCTTGAGAACTTCTGGTAGATCTGATCATGAGAAATGGAGAAAGGAATTTGGTCTGCATTATGTTACCACATGCTTCATGGGGTCAAGGTCACTGGCATGGCTAGACTTTGGAGGTTGCCTGGGCTTATGTGTGATCTCATTTATTTAAATCCCATGGCCAGTTCCAAACCTACAACTGGCTGGTCAGACCTGACACTGTTCTTGGGGTTGGGACTAAGAACACATAGTCTGAGGATATCAGGGGAGGCCACATAGCGTAGGTTCCCGATGCAGCTGGTTGTATGGAAACTAATTAATTAGCTAGCTAACTAGCTAACTAGCTAACTAACTAACTAACTAACTCTCTCTCTCTTTCTCTATACCACCTCTTTCATTTAAGACCCATTTTTATATACAAGTCTTTGGCTCCTCACAGTTTCAATCTCCACACATCATTATCACATATTTTCTCAAATGATGTAATTATAAGTAACTGAGAAGTCATGCCAATTAGTGAGGCAGCAGCCACTGACCTTTTAGGACTTTACTTTTGCTGTATACTGTAATTTAACTTTAGGGTGAAAGGGTTAAGCTACAATTCTCAGATGCAGAGATCTGAAGCTGTCTTGGCTCCTCTCTTGGCCACAGCCACAAGTAGCCAGACCGTCTGGATGCTAACATTACTATAGTTAAACTAATCACAAATTATTTTTTCTCATCAACAACTTGAAGTTCTTTTCCCCCTTTAATGACTGCAATATTTTATGAGTTCTTAAGTCACTTTATTCGGAAGAAAATGATCATTTCCTCAATTTTCTTGAATGTTTTAAATTTTTTATTCATGTGAGATTCCTTAAATTTAACAATGCTTTTACAAAACATACATTTAACTGTACCCTAGACGGGTTCAGGGTACACCCCTCTAAGGAATGCACATGGCCCTTTGGACGTCTACCCCACCTCAGGCTTTCATGGACAGAGCTGATGAACATTTGGATCCAGAAGGCAGCAGGACTCTGTGAAAGGTAAAACCAAATCTGACACTTACTGAGTTTGCTGCTTCTACATCTTACCCATTTCCTTCCCAACAATAAAGCGCTTTGAAAACGCTGCTTTGGGTATCCTTTTACTTTTATTACGTATGATATCACGGTTAGTTTATGAGCAGACTCTTAAAACGTGGTGGCAGAGGCCACCATCTAACAGGTTCAGGGGTCTGTCCTTGGGAAGATTTGCTAGAACATCCAAATAGTTAAAGAAAATTATTATTCAGGTAATTAAAAAACAGGAGCAATTGGCTGGTCAAGACCAAAGTCTTGGTTCAGGACCACAGTGTTCTGCCAGAAACCAAAAGTGCTTGCCTCCCTTAGGGTGCTGATTTGGCAGGTCCAGAACCCTCCAGTTCTCCACCACCAACACCCAAGCAAATTCTATCCCCTTCTGGTTCTCTGGAAAATGTCTGGCAATAATAAGAATTTTTTTTTTTTTTTGGGTTATAGCAT